ATATATATATACGCGAGCATTCCTAATTTTAACAAAAGTGAAATTGTGCTCTGAATAATGAGTTTTAGACAGAAAGTTGTGTGGAAGGAAGCGAAAAAAGCTTGCGTAATATTATTGTCCCTTTGTTTGCTAAAATGACTGAAGAATTCGTTGAACACCACCAGCCGATATAGCTTCCATGTTTGAACTGACAAATCTGAAACTCAAAGCAGCTGCAGGACTCACTGAAACTCATCTCGAATGCGGAAAGAAAAAAAAATGAATACATTCATTACTGCAGCGCTGTATGGTACTGGCTAAGGATACATTTACGCTTTAATTTAGTTTCTTATAAAGTTTCCAGTATTAAAAGAAAGATGACCTATTCTCTGGGAAGTGTGTATTGAAAGGAGATCGGTGTGGTATTCTAAAGAATTATTGGAGTTACAAAGACACGAGAAAAAGGGTAAAAGTTATGAATATATGCAGAACAATCATGTCGATGGAGTATAATTAATTTCTCTTATGTTGTTCTGAGTTCATCTATAAAACTTCTTCGATTATTCCTCTATTGCGTATCCACGTTGTCCTTCATCATCCATCCAATATATTCAAACATTTAACATTGTATTCTGTAAATTATATAATGATAAAAACTCCGTCTCAAGTGCAAACAATATATTTTGTGTCTTTGATCTTGTTCCCCTACACTACATGTTTCGGCCTCAGACGGCCATCATCAGGTGTATAACACTCACGTCGCTGTCACACTGCACCCAGCTCAAAATTTAACATTTAAAAACGCTTTCCTTGTTATTATCAACTTCACTTGGTTGATAACTGTCTGGTTTGTAGATTATTTTATCTTACACACGTTAATTTTTACTTTGTTGTAATAGCACTATAATAAAATCTTTAATTCTAATTTTAAAAACCTTTAAAATTCTTTCCTAAATTTTAAAATTTTTAAAATTGTTAGGGTTATTCGCCCTATGTTTAAAGTGCTGCAGCTGCTATTTCTTGTTACCACACTGTATAGGTGTTATCTGTAATATACAAATATATTCGTATTATTATCTTATGTATGTGATGTTTTCTTATGTGTTTCT